TCATAAAAAGCATAATTTATTTTTTAAGAAAGGAAATTTGTGTGAGCCGTGTGAGGCTATAAAATGTATTCTTTGTAAATATGTTGTTAAAACCAGTCAGTTCGAAGATAATAACGGAAACATCTTTCAGATAACAAAAATATATTAATTGTAAATCTAGGAAAGTTGTATGTGGATTTTTTTGTAAAAAAAAAAAAAAATTAACAAAGTAGTGTATGTGGGAGGAACTGGCGGGAGTTTATAAGAGAGACATGTTTTGAATTTATCTTTAGTCAGAAGAAAAACACATGTCCCTGTGGCTGCTCATTTTTTTTTTATAAATATATATAGGAACTGTCATGATTTGTGGTTGGATATGATTTTTATCCAACGAGTTGTGTGTTATTTTTTTATCCCCGAGCCTTGGCGAGGGGACAAAAATGTATATCAAACCACAGATCATGGGAGAATCCTGGGAGAATCTTTTATCACATGTTTTATACATCAATATCAATGTTCTAACTCGGGATAAAGGCGTAAACATGTGAGATATATATATATATATATATATATATATATATATATATATATATATATATATATATATATATATATATATATATATATATATATATATATATATACATGTATATATATATATATATATATATATATATATATATATATATATATATATATATATATATATATATATATATATATATATATATATATATCAGGCTTGGGGTAATGCTAAATGTAATGGTAATGTATTGCAATGCATTACTTGAACTCGAAGTAATGCTAGTAATGTGTAATGCAAAAAATATTGCATTACATGTAATGGTAATGTAATGCATTACTTTCTCAAATCCAGAGTAATGCTGACATTACATAGCATTACAAAGCATTATTTTGTATACTGTATACAGGGTTATTTTCGCCCTTTCACATTTGCAAACAATTTTGCCCTAGCTGTTTTGAATCCGCCCAACAACAGTTTTGTTTAAAATATTATACTGTTTACTTTGAATTCGCTCCGCTTTAAATTCGCCCACTTCAGACGAGGGCGAAAGGGGCGAGAAAAAAAACGGGGGCGAAAATTTCCCTGTATACAGTATATTGTTACAGAAAATAAAATGGAAATGATTATATGATGTTTAAATTATGTGCAGACTAAGTGGAGATCGACATCCGCATTTATACATTAAACCCCAAAATAACCCCAAAACCCCATTGAAAAAAGTTAACCTATTCATAATATATAAACTCTCTATACCTATTCAAATACTAGTATATTTTTTATGTTGAAAGTATAGATACAATACATTTAAATTTTTATATATACTTATTTTAGATCAGATTTAATTTCAATGTATATTTTAAAGAGTTTTTTTTTTTTTTAATTTCCTTTAAAAATAATTCCGATATGAGGCACACTAATTAATGTACAATGTAAACAGGTAATTGCCACCTTTTGAATAGTGTCATCAAAACACAAAATGCCTCTAAGGTTATCTAACAATTAAAACAATGTATTGTTTTGAGAAGTACTCCAAAAACCAGCCCCTTTCTTCTGACTATGTTTATGAAACATTAATTGAGCTGATCTAGCTTGAGCTGACCATTACAATTAAATCCATTGCACCAATATGAATAGAAGACAAACATTCTACTTTTAGAAGAACAAAAACGTACATACTGTCCAAACCTTAATTTTTACAAGTTTGTCAATGTATTTAATTTTTGTCGTAATTTTTTGTACATGTTTTTATCCTATTGGCAATAGCAAAAATTTGAACTACCTATGAATAATAAATAGATATGTAAATTATTTACAGTGTAATAAATACAAGTAATTAAATTTGAATTATCATTCATCATGTTTAGTTTTAAAGGGTTGGGATGCATGTTTATTAAAATAGTTGCAAAGTTTTTTTGTTTTTTTTTAAATTTCTGAAAACCTCCAAAAGTAATGGTAATGATAATGCATTACTTTGCTAAAGTAATGGTAATGTAATGCATTACTTTAAGAAATTAGAGTAATGGTAATGGTAATTTAATGCCCAAATTCTTGAGGAAATGGTAATGTAATGCATTACTTTACAAAGTAATTCACCCCAAGCCTGATATATATATATATATATATATATATATTATATTATATTATATTATATTATATTATATTATATTATATTATATTATATTATATTATATTATATTATATTATATTATATTATATTATATTATATTTTCAACAGCGAAATACTGTAATTTATTTACTGAATAAAAGTGATATTCTGGCACAATGGAAAGGATATCAAAATGTTATTCGCACAGTGTGAGAAAGTGCGGCAAAACTTACTGTTTTTCTTCATTTCACAAAGAGTTTCTGTGTTACGAAAAGACAAAGGCCAAGGGAAAATCTAGAAAATGTAATAAACAGAAAATTCAATGTTTTTTCGTGAGACCGGATTTTTTTTTATATTTCCACCAGTGCTTCGCACTCGTGAAAATATATAAAAAATCCTGTCCCTCTCATAAAATAAATTCCATATTCATATATATATATATATATATATATATATATATATATATATATATATATATATATATATATATATATATATATAAAATAAAAATACAAAAAATCACAAAATATTTTCTGCAAGCGCTTTCGCCATGTTAGGCTCTTCAGGTAGTTATACAAATGTCAGGTAGGTTACCTGGTAACGTCCAAAAGCAAAAGTTCATTGTGACGTCATAATAGATCAAGGTAGCGTAAAGTTGCCGTATTAGATAATGTACAAATATTGCATTAACTTGAACACATAATATGCATAAAATCTTACAATATGTTATATAATAATGTATCATTTTCGATTAAGCTTTGGTTTAAAGAGTTTGATAAATTAGTCCTCTTTTGCCAAACGTAGATTTTCATTTTCATTGGGAAGTTTATAAAAAGGGAAAATCTTAAATATTCCTTTGCCGCATTTTGCAAAGTGTTCACAACATGGTGTATTACGCACACTAGGGTCTTTAATTTGTTGCTTGTGTACACGAACCCGGGCATTTAGTTTCCCCGTTTGTCCAATATAGAATTCTTTGCATGTCGGACAGATTGCACAGTAGATAACGTTTTCGGATTTACAGTTCATTGGTGAATTGGTTCTAATTTCCATTCCTGATTTAAGTTGGATTCTATTTCCCTCTTCTAAATATGTACACGTTCCGCATCTTGGATCTCCGCATTTTTTAATGGTTGGAATTTCCTCCTGTGTAGTAAAACGGGCCTTGGTTAACAATTTTTTAAGATTGGGTGCCTGTCGTCGACTATTGATAATATCATTTGGTTGTATTAAACTTTTCATATTTTCCGATTGTTCTAAAATTGGGTAGAATCTTTTAGCGTCCATAAGGATATTTCTGTTTCGTGGGTTATGGGTCACAACAAAGGCTATTTTCCCGTCATCGGTGGTGTCATCTACACGACGTGGATTTCTAAGGTTCTCTATTGGAATTTTGGACGCCTTGTTTATTCCAGCGTTGATTAAATCAATTGGATAGTTTTGTCGTCGTAGATATATTTTTAATTCCTCCAAACGTCTAGAACGCAGGGTTCTATCTGTAATAATTGTACAAATTCTTCGTGCTAAATTAAACGGGATATTACGTTTTGTGTGGGATGGATGATCGATCGTGCCATCCATCTACGACGACAAAACTATCCAATTGATTTAATCAACGCTGGAATAGACAAGGCGTCCAAAATTCCAATAGAGAACCTTAGAAATCCACGTCGTGTAGATGACACCACCGATGACGGGAAAATAGCCTTTGTTGTGACCCATAACCCACGAAACAGAAATATCCTTATGGACGCTAAAAGATTCTACTCAATTTTAGAACAATCGGAAAATATGAAAAGTTTAATACAACCAAATGATATTATCAATAGTCGACGACAGGCACCCAATCTTAAAAAATTGTTAACCAAGGCCCGTTTTACTACACAGGAGGAAATTCCAACCATTAAAAAATGCAGAGATCCAAGATGCGGAACGTGTACATATTTAGAAGAGGGAAATAGAATCCAACTTAAATCAGGAATGGAAATTAGAACCAATTCACCAATGAACTGTAAATCCGAAAACGTTATCTACTGTGCAATCTGTCCGACATGCAAAGAATTCTATATTGGACAAACGGGGAAACTAAATGCCCGGGTTCGTGTACACAAGCAACAAATTAAAGACCCTAGTGTGCGTAATACACCATGTTGTGAACACTTTGCAAAATGCGGCAAAGGAATATTTAAGATTTTCCCTTTTTATAAACTTCCCAATGAAAATGAAAATCTACGTTTGGCAAAAGAGGACTAATTTATCAAACTCTTTAAACCAAAGCTTAATCGAAAATGATACATTATTATATAACATATTGTAAGATTTTATGCATATTATGTGTTCAAGTTAATGCAATATTTGTACATTATCTAATACGGCAACTTTACGCTACCTTGATCTATTATGACGTCACAATGAACTTTTGCTTTTGGACGTTACCAGGTAACCTACCTGACATTTGTATAACTGCCTGAAGAGCCTAACATGGCGAAAGCGCTTGCAGAAAATATTTTGTGATTTTTTGGATTTTTATTTTTAATACACCCAGCAAAACTGTACCGGTTCTTCATTTTGTTTTTGAAATTATATATATATATATATATATATATATATATATATATATATATATATATATATATATATATATATATATATATATATATATATATACAATGTATATATATATATATATATATATATATATATATATATATATATATATATATATATACAATGTATATATATATATATATATATATATATATATATATATATATATATATATATATATATATATATATATATATACATTGTAGAAGTACTCCAAACTTGTAAGCAACGCGTTTCAAATAACAGGATATAGCAAAATATAAATGATAAACTGTAATGATATAAAGTTCTTATTTTTATTTGTTAAGAGTTTACTATTCAATTTTTTTTTTTAAATTCCTGTCAGGACTGAATATGCATTTCAAAACTCTTTAGTTTTTGTGTCTGATCATCATCATAGTCTTTTGTAGCGCTTCATTATACTTCCAGTGCTGCCATACCGGGTATTTCCAATTTTTTACAGCAGATGTGGCGTACTTTCCGTTAAGGTTTGATTGGTGACAGGACTTGTTCCACCAGGCTCCGTGCCATGTTATAGCACAGTTACCACTATTACTGTCATTATCCTGATCCTTTGTACTAAATTTCATTCCATTGTGATAATCCAAACTGTCACCTGTAACAGAGTATTGTACAATAAGGACAGTATTTATAGAGACAATAACTAGAACAGAGTAACAGCCTCTGTAATCTTCATTGTCCTGTTACAAGACAGGTACTACTACTCATGTCATTATCCTGATTCTTAGAGATTAATGTACCCATCATTGTGATAAGTCAAACTGTATCCTGTAACAGAATATGGATGTATATTGAGGAAGGATTGGTAGCACAGAAAAAAAGCATCATGATCAAAAATGTGTAATTTTTTGGGGGGTGGGGGGATAAAACGTTATTGAATATGTTTTGTATGTACACAGTGAATTATATGTCTGCATCTAATACTTTATATCACAAGAATTATTTCTACTAGTTTACTAAACCATGTCTAAAACACTAGATAGATTTTGAAAAAATATAATTCTATTCGTTGTAGACGTACAAAACATATCAAACAGAAGAGTGAATGAAAGTCATATGAATGCTTAGAGGAAAGGTTATCTTGATAACAAAAAAAGGGACAAGAAATCACCAAATAATTGTTATTTTCTTCAAGCCTTTTCACAAGCTAAAAACCGATTGCAAACAATGTGTAAGCAATCAATATCTGGTTTCTCGTATAAAGCTGTAGCTAACACTTCTAATGGACTAATCCCTAATTACACTAATTTTTTGTTTAATGTTTTGAAAGTCAAACATGCAAAACCAAATTGAGACAGAGTTGCTTGCCCATAAAAATATAAGAATGAATTAACTAATATTCACACGCTATTAAATTCTGAAGAACATGACATAGGTATGTACAATAGTTGTTGTGAAGTCGAAAACAATTTTTATTTAAATTAAAGAAGTGCAAATCGGAATATCAAGCTTATAACCTGAAAAATGCTCTGGTTTTGCACCTTATTCCAAATGAATTTATTAAAATAAGAGCTGATTTTTTCTGACTCTACTAGTTAAACTTTTTAAATAAAATTCTTTAGACTGGCGGAATGCCAGAATCATGGAACCTCTCATCAATTACATATTTGTATAAATCTGGGGATCTAGAAAATCGCAATAATTATAAAGGATTAACTGTATAACAGACTACTCTAATCTATCTTAATAACAATTTAGAATCTGAAGGATTGTTAAGTCACTTTCAGGCAGGATTAAGGAAAGTAAATTGTTCAGCAGATAGCATTTTCATCCTAAATCCGTCTTAACTGAAGACAGGATTTGGGAAAGGATGTCGTACAGATAACATTTTCATTCTTAAAACAAATACCTGTTTAAAAGAGAAAAGAAAGATGGAATTGTTTGATGCTTTGTTGATTTTTCCAACACTTTTGATACTAGATAGACACAAGCTCTTTTGTATAAATTAAAAAATGGAATCAGTGATTTTTTTTTCTCTAAATTTTATAAAACATATGTACTTTACTATAAAATGTTTTGGAAGACAGGTACATAATGAATCTTTAAAACGTCCAACATTGGCCCCGATAATTAGCAGAAAATCCATTTAAAAATATGATATACATTATTTGCTCCATCCTCTCCTTCAGACCTTGAAGTTTACTAATTTCAATTTCAATTTTTACTCCCTTGCACTGTAATTACGCATAAATCTGATCTCCGGTCGGGTGTAATATAGCAGTGGTACGTTGTTTACAATTAAATTCTCATAGAGTTTACGTCACACCTCCATTGCTATATGAGCGTATTAATATTTCAAGTTGTCGTAAATATGGTCACTGAAACGACAATCAGATTTTGCAATACAGTTCGCAATCAAAAAGTAAAAAGCATTCGAGAACATAGGTCGGAATTCAAAACTTAACATTTTCCACAGGGTCTAAAACATTGAGGGTTAGGCACTAGTTGTCAGCTACCACTTCATCAAAAATTGGTGATAGTACTATTTCTAGCTTCCGATATCCTCCCCTTAAGTTTTCTTATTTTCTGGGTAAGGGAGAAAAGCAGCATTTACTACTCGAGGCAAATACATCAAGACTTGTAACCAAGAGGGACAGTATAGAATCTGCAAATATGAGATTAAAAAGGAAGAAATTTTTGGCAAACGTTATTACAAACACACAAGTACCATTTATTGGAGATTATGTCAGAATTGTAGGACCGCTACTTAACGCATTTAGGCCTTCTCTTGCGAGTGTCACAGACAACGACTTTGGAATGTATCGTAAAATGTTTGAAAAATCCAAAACAACTACTAATTCCTTAACAGGTTTGTTCATAAATTCTTCTGGAAAACGAATTTTATCACATAAAATGGCTAAAGATTCTGCTGTTCCTGGCTTTTTTTTAAGCCTTTCTAAGCCTTTTTACTTTCTATGTATCTTTTAAGAAGATATAACTTTTAATCACTTATTTTTTGCTGATGATCTTGTTTTATTATCAGATCTGCTGAAAACCTCCAAAATTGTATAGATATTCTTTCAAGATATCGTAAAGAATGGACGTTGCACGTCAACTTAAAAAAAAAAACCTGGGTTATGGTTTGTTCTACCAGGAACATAAAGAATTATAACTGATAAAATTACAAATATCTAAGTATATTTTTACAATCAAATGCCAATTCAAACTAGTACTAATTGTAACGGGAACAGATGTTACAGATGTTCCCTAAACGCTCCCCCACTCCCGTATGGACCCCATTCTCTACAAACGACATTAACTTGGGCAATTCTTTTGTTTACTAAATCTACACCTCATTGTCAGAAGTATTTTATCGAAAAGCAACGCTAGTATAGTCTCTGAGTATTAGCAAATCAATTTTCAGCGCATGTGTATGCCCATGGTTTCTAGATATTTCACCGTTCACGGTAGCTCAGTTGGTAGAGCGCTCGCTCCATGATCAGGAGGTCGTGAGTTCGAATCTCGGCCGCGACTGACCTAAGTCGATAAAAAATGGGTAGCAACTGTTCCTTCGCCATGCGCTCGGCACTTTGAAGTGAAAGTTGCGGGTCCTTCGGATGAGACCTTAAAAACCGAGGTCCCGTGTCACGGCAGGCGTTGGCACAATAAAGATCCCTCACTGCTCAATGGCCCTGAGTGCCGAGTAAAGGTCAAAATTTGAAGCCCTTCACCGGTATATGGTGACGTCTCTATATGAGTGAAAAATTCTCGAATGGGACGTAAAACAACATACAATCAATCAATCAATCTAGATATTTCACATATCTTCCTCCTAAAGAGACTCACAGTAAATACCAATGTGTGAAATCTCAAATATCTTCATTGAAAACTATGAGAGATACAGCCGTATAAGCATTAATCAATCAGATATATATATATATATATATATATATATATATATATATATATATATATATATATATATATATATATATATATATATATATATCTCATAATGTAGGACCTCCTTAAGTATGACTATGTTTAAATTTCAAAGTATATTGTGAAAAGAAAAAACAAGAAGGTTATTGAGAGTTTTTGTGCCAGACAATCAGAGCGAAGCACACGTGTATTTGCTTGCTTTTTTGCTAATTCGACCACTTCATCTTGTCTACACCACTAATATATATTTATATAATAAGGTTCAAAGCATATTATCAAAAAAAGGTTAAAGCAGTTGTATCAGTCACTCCTCGAACGCTCACGCATGTACATGCAATTGCGCGCAAAATGATCTTCGTTCTTCACATCTACACAACATGTCTGTTAACCCTAAAAAGGTTTAATTTCAATCGGATGAGTAGTTTCCGATAATACTCAACAAAAAAGCACCGGAGAAGAAATTTGGAAAAAAAAGAAAGTAAAAACATGTTCCCATATATGCTTTTGATGTCCTTGCTGCTAGAGCCCGAAAAACGTATTATGTCTTGACACATAAACCACCTTTGGCTGAGGTCTCTCATCCAACTTGTGGTTAATGCTACATGAATCAATTATCGTCCCAACTTTTACCTTTGGATCTCTGATTTTAATGCTATTCCCAATAATTTTGATAAAACACCTTTTGAACAAAAAAATAATAAAAAAATTATTTTGAAATGAAATATGGTGATAAAGAACAGTATTCAAGTTCAAAGTCCAATTAAAGAATGCAAATCGGGAGCAGAGCAATCACGGACCTCCAAAAAATCTGAGGTGGGATCAGGTGCCATGGAGGAGGGAGTATCCCCTGCCGACCGGTCACACCCGCTGTGTGCTCCTTGTCATGATCGGGAAAAAACGGAAAAATCCGTAGACAATTCAGTGTGTGAATGATGCCTACCAATTACTATGAAAAAAAAACGTCAGTCAGCATTTGACTTAATGATAGGTTGTATTTGCTGACAAGATCATTGTATCGACCATAAAACTTGCAAAATGATGACTTCAAACAAGACTGTTGATATCCTTGTCTCATCAACTTGTTTGTCAATAGCTTGCCTCGTTTTAGAAATTGTTCATACGTAGAGCATATTGAATCAACTGAGAAACATAAACCCCATAAGCAGGTGATAAGGGTATATTGCTACATAAGTAAGGGAAGTTGACGATTGAAAAGTTGAAGTCATCACGTTTATCATAAAGCTTTGTTGTTAGGTTACCATTAACGTCTTTTTCCAGTAAAACATTAAAATATGAAACATATGTCTCAGACTATGGTATCTTTTATTTCAATTTCAATGGAATATTTCAAGCTCACTGGGATATATCGAGTCAACATATGAATTATAGTAACTATTATAAAACGTCGTCGATATATCTAAATTTCGAGTTGAAGACCACAGAAATTGTTTTCTTCTCATTCAGAAGTTTTTGAAAAATTCTGCTTCATATGAATACAAAAATAGGCCTGCTAATAACGGGGTGATATTGGTACCCATGGGAATTCCAATAGATTGTTGGAAGATATGATCTCCAAAAACTACATAGATATTATCAATAAAAAAACTCAAGCATCTTTTAAATATCAACTTCAGAGTACTTGTGTGTTTTTTTAACAAAGTAATTTTGTGCATGACTAATGACAAGGTAAGTACATGTATATCTGTAAGTTCC